CAGATACTTGGGGCAAACATAAATATTACGAGTGTGAATCGCGACCAGATACTTGGGGCAAACATAAATATCATGAGTCTGAGTCGCGAACAGATACTTAGTACAGATAGTACTTATAATTAGTACAGATAGTTTCGTCGAGCTAAATGGCACGGGAAGGGGTTAATCGATTCTATACTGAATTGTTCTATTACAGAGAATTTTTATTCGCGTTTCAGGTAAAATTAAGTACTCCGAGAGGGTGTACGACGCGTGCATGGACGCGTTCGACTGTCTCCCGTTAGCGGCACTGATGAACCAACAGTTCCTCTGCGTGCACGGCGGACTGTCGCCGGAAATTCACAATCTAGAAGACATACGCAAAGTGAGTAAAGAAATACCTTTCATTGATACAACGACTCGTACGTTCCTGTGATTTAAGAAGAGTGTCTCTCGTATCCAGATATAAAATCAGACGCGTGGTACGCTGCTCCTTTTTACTGTACGTATAAACAGCGGAATTTGCGAGCCGTTCGACTCTCGTTTCGTACGTGTAACACGAGGAAACCTACGATTGGTGATCGAGTATTTTCTTAAACGAGGAAATCGGTTGTCAGTTGTACCACACGAGTGTTATCGGAGTCCTGGCCCCGCGTGGAGTACCGGAAACACGAGCATACTGCTGCCACCTGCTCTATCGATCGTTCGCCTAAACAGTGTCCACCTTGACGCAGCCAATACGCATCCCTTTCGCTTGTGTATTTATCTACTAAATACAGAAAATACCTAAGAATAACAATTTAGACATTTTTACTATTTTAATTTTCTTATTAGAAGTCGTCAGATTTTTAGATCAGAACTTTTTTGATTGAATCGGTTGTTTAATTAAAAATTGTGGTCGAACTTTTTAATAATTTTGCCGACGTCACTAAATGAATGATGAATATTGAATGGAAAGGTTTTTCGACATTTTCAATCAGCAGTTATTTTGAACGAAAATGATGGAACTGCTAAAAGATAATTATTCTATGGTTAAACAAATGAGTGGCGTGGATGGAATTGAAATGATGAATTAATTAAAAGAAACGGATGAATTCGTGGCCTGTTCGGATGGATTTGGTCTGCGTGTGTATTAAACCGGAGCTAATTAATGCCGACAAACGACGATATTTTACGAGTCCGATCGGCAGCGAATATTAATGTTGTGAACGTAATAACGAAATTAATATTCTATTAACTCGGGTGCTTCCTGACACGTTTAATCGTTGCATACGGTTGATATTGCCCGGCCGAGTACAGAAAACAGAATAATTTGCCGTGAAAGGCCGAGGAACGATTAATCTTGCATGTAGTTTCATGGTGCTGCATATTGTATGCAGTTACCACGTATTTCTGCGAACGTTACGTGAATACAGCAGCCCCGTAATGTTTCGCTCGCGGCTCACTCCGCAAAGGACAGCGTGGGAAAATGGTACAAAAAATTCCAACTGTTTATAAATTCAATTTTCCGTCGATTTCCCTTTTTTTTAATACATTTTCATTTCGGTTTTTTAACTTTGCACACGTTTCCTCCCTGGCTAATAAAATTTCCTATTCCCGGGGATATCGTGCGGTGGCTCATGTATATTCGAAGGAATTCGTGAAAGAAATACGAGCGAGAAGTTGTGTCTACGGCGCCCTCGAACTTTTTCGAAACCGTTGGAGAAATATCGCGACGGAGCTTCCCCGGGCATTTTTATTTTCGTGATGCCCGTGAAGATACGCCCTAGGCCCGGGATGGAAGATAGAATCCCGCAGGAATCCTGTTTGTACTTCCGCGACGCGACTCTTTCGAGCTCTTCTGTCTATAGTCTACACGGTTGGGTCTGAGTGAATCTTTCAACGAGACTCGATTTTTCTCGTTACCTCTATACTCGGTACAGTTTCCTTTTTTTTTTTTTTTTACACAGATTTCCAGGTGAAAATGATATCTCGAAAGGGGAAATGACTTTAAAAAAGAGCTGATGAAAACACGTCGAGACATTACAGACTTTTCATTTGTTTTATGATACAAAAAGCAGTTACGACTGTATGTTTCAGTGTGATATAAATAAATCCTTTCACGCATTGTAACCGTAGTTTTTCGCTATAAAAATATTTTAAAACCGAAACGTCTGGCGTTAAAATAACAATTGAACATCTCTCGTTTTATCTGGCGTGTTCGCACGTGCAACAGTGCGCGTAGATTGAAAAACTATATTTTCGTTATATACGTCGGAATTCTCGTCAGTAAATATTTAATGTTATCAAAGTAACTAGGGAAACCATTGAGAAACTTGAATAGTTCGAATTCTGAAACGAGAGATAAGAACATCTTTGAACGGCTTCCGAGCCGGGCAAAGAGCGGAGGCAATTAACCGGATTCTTTGTCGCGGTCTGGTACAAAGCACGAGGGATAATCGGAAGAATCCGGCGAGCTTTTAATATTTATTCGCCAGCGGATAAGAAATTCTATCCATGTTCCGCGATGTTTCCGGCTTCTCTCGACGTGGTTTTATTTCCGAAAGGTTTTACCAGGCGCGAGAACGTCGACGCGCTTGATATGGAAATTGACAGCCCCGGAAGGACGATATCCTTTGAGACGCGAGACCCTATGAAAACCGTCATATGCTACGCTCCCTTTGAATTTTTCACCGCTTATGAAAATAATTCTGCTCCTTAAATCGTAACGCCGTCAGCGTTTTCAATGAAATATGTTACAAGCTCGTTAAAAGGGGGATTAAGGTTTTAACAGAGTTTTAACAAAGATATTTCCCGTCGTTTTATTAAATTCTAACAATCAGTAATTGGCAATATTTTCAATAAAATCTGTTAGAGATCTCTGAAACGACGATTGATGGTTTAAAAGTGTTGGGTTGTTCCTTTTGGGATTTATAAATGCTGATGCCCGTTTGAAACAGCGAAAATCGATCATTGTTGAAGTCGTGACGCACTGAGGAGGCCCCAGAACACCCGATGCATTTTATCAGTGGTTTCGTGCTTTAAATAGCGACTGCGTGCTTTCTATGCGCCACTATTAACTTAATCGACACCGTACACCTATGCGTGTAACACGCTCTCGAATTCTCTGTAATAATCTGCCCGTTTCTTACTTCAAACCCAAAAGTGGCACACACGCGTTTAATTTATTCCCAAACGAATCCCGAGTAAATCGATAAAAGTACGAAATCGTATGAAATTTATTAATTGATGCTTCATGTGAGTTTTCCGTTCTATTGAATATACGAATCAAAATGCAAACTTGGGGAGTTAATAAATATTACTCACTCGCCCAGTGGTAGACGTAGTAACCAAATTTCTCCGAAATAGATTCAATTTCGCCAGCCTAACGTAGCAGCGACTCTGCCCGACGGTAGTAAAGGAGTCCCTCTAGCACCGTAACAGAGGGCAACTTCCTCCCGGCGGGGCAACTTTTAACGACGCTTATAAAACTCGCGGCCGTGCAGTGAATGCATCGGGAAAACGGATGTACCCCTTTTTATTCCTGTTTCGCCACCCCCGTACGTGACCGGAGAACAGAGCCAAGATGTGCCTTTTTCCGACCCCTCGGATCTATTCTCTATTTTTGCTCGGACTCTACGCGTCGCACAGTTTATATACAGAAGATTTCGCATTAAGGTTTCAAAGGAATTTAACAAATTGTTCGTCAAGCAGAATTAAGGATGTATTGGCTATACAATCAATCCCAAAAGTTTATTTATTAAAAAGAAATCAGACGTCGGAAGAATAATGTTAATAANCGTCGAAACAGCGAACTTTTGGAAAAAAAATTTCGTTTTTCCTTAATAACTCCTAAAGTGTTAGACATACGAGAAAATTGCATAGAACCTTTCTTGTAGAGAACGATGAGATCTACAATTTCTATATAAAAATTCTTCGCTAGCTTCAATAGTTTACGAGTTATTGACGAAAAAACGAAAAAACAGTTTTTCGCAAATTACTCGTAAACTAGTAGCACTAGCGAATAACTTTTATATGGAAATTGTAGATCTCGTCGTCCTCTACAAGAAAGATCGAAAGGAATTTTCCCGTATCTCCAACGGTTTAGAAGTTATTGGCAAAAAACGAAAATTTCGCAAAATCTGAAGGGGAACCCCTTGGAAAAATCTCGGAAAAATCGAAAATTTTTTGTTGTTGTTTATTATTAGCAATGTTCTTCCGGCGTCTGATTTCTTTTTAAAAAATGCGTTTCTAAAGTGCATAAACTTTTGGGATTGACTGTATAGCCAATACTTCCTTAAGCCTCGCTGTCTCTGGTAAAATGTTGTTGGTCAAACGTAACACGTAAAATCTAAACCAGATGAAAAAGTTTTAGCATTTAACCAAATGCGTAAATTAATTTTAATTCTGTTTTCATTTTTCAAGCATCCTCGTCCAGCATTATGTTACTGCATTGATCAAAACATTTCGTCAGGGGTAGTAGAAGCTGTTCAGCGGGTATACTGGAAGACAGAGGTTGGCACGGTTTGGTCCTCGACCGGATTGAGGGGCCCAAAGAATTTTTTCGCTCGAGGAACCTTTTGTTCGTTTAATAATGCGATTCTATGCATAAATGAAGAATCCTCGCTCTCGAACCAGGACCAAGCCTCGGGCTAATTTCCTTTCAACCGACGGAAGTTCCTCCTCCCATTAAATAATACTTGGACTTAGTTGCCCGGAATTATTCCCTGTCCCGATCCGACGAGACATTGTATCCTCGTAAATGGAATTATTACGTCCCCGTCGCGTTCCCGCTACGATCGCTCGACGCGGAATCTCGTTTAAATGGATTGCACTTGTTAAAAGGAACCGGGCGAAATTGCTACATTTCATTACAACTTGGAAAATTCGACTTGGAATTGGCATCGTCGCACTTCTGCTCGTTCCACCTGGCAACTTCTTAATAATCTCGATGGATTAATCACGGCGAATTTTTAATAGCTCTTCGGAATGAAAAAGTTTCATAAGAAAATTACTTTGCCCGCAATTTTTCCGAGCCCGCCACTGAAACGCTCGGTTGAATTCTCGCGAGCAGCATCGAACGCGTGACGTCGGTTTAATTCCACGATTGCAGTTCCGACTATCGTTACCGGAAACTCTCGGAAGTTCTCTCTTATCCGGAATCTCGAAGAGTATCGAAGGCAATAGTTGACTCGTTTGAAAAACCAGAGCACTTAGCTAGCTTTCGAAGGTCGTCGGCCATGTAAATGCGGGGGAGGGTGGGACGGTGTATTACCCGGCCGAGATTTGGTATTCATATCGGTTGCTCTGCGGTTGCAAAACCCAGCTTTTACATAGAGGTACGCGGAATAATACATAAACGGGGCCCAGAGGGTGTCTGCTGCGATGGAGTATCTTGGCAAGGGTTGATCTGATAAATATTGCATAGTCGCTGGTGTCCCTTGGCGCTACCGTTGACATTTTTAGCATATTTGTATTTATCTCGGTGGATGAGAAATGATCTTCGTTATTACTCGATCGAAATAAAATCGATCTCGAGCACAGAGAGTGAAAGAATTTTCGAATCCTACAGAACTACTGAAGCGTTCATGCAATTTACAGAGATTACAGACGTTCAAATACTTAATTGGACGTGAAACTATAATAATTTATTTAATTAAAGAACAGGAAGATAAAAGTGTAATTGAGAAAGATCGTATTCCTATTAATAGCTACATTTCTGTTGAAGTGGAAGAAGAAAGGGTAGGAACTTCCTGAGAACTCGATTCCTCCCTGCTATTAAAATATCGAAGCAGCTCGAAGGACGTTCGATAACGTCGACGCAAATTGCCGCGGATACTCGTCGAGTATTTTCAATCGTTCGAACTTCACCCAGTTTCAGCCCTTCCCTGTCTTATTCCCCGCGATTGTTGCAGCTGAAAGAGGCAGCTGCGGAGGGTTAACCACCCCGTCTCTCCCACGAGGAATATCTCGTAATCCGCCGGAACAGATGCAGCTCTTCCACGATGATTATGGTCCGTTTTTCTGCGTTTGTGTGTGTGTGTGTGTGTGTATCCAGTCGGTAGAAAAAGTTCCTCGCTCTGCTATTTACGAGGGTAAATTTGATATATTCGAGACGAAACGACTCGGTGCTAGAGATGAGCAAGGCGACGTGCGAGTTAATTAAGTCGTTACCAACGTTCCATACGTCCTTCTTTGTGTCCGGGAATCGCAATCGTTTGCAACGACACGCGTCGGCAACGAACACGGTTAATGGGTAATTAATATGCCGTTTCGAAACGCTGCTCTAAAATGATAATACGAAAGCAACGTTGCCGTCGTACTCGTTTAACCGAAATGACTTTGCAAACTGCGGCACGTGTTACACGTTCGAAATGGTTAAATCTAAAAACAGATATTAAAAACAGTATATGCAGCGTGGCACGTGTCACCCATTCAAACTAAATGAATTAAAGAATTGTATTAAAAAGCGATATAGGAATCGTTCGAAACGCTATCGAGTGTTTGTCGATAAATAATGGAACGGAAAGTTTAATAATCAGAAATTGATGAACTCTTCAATTAAATGAAAATTAATTACCTACGTCAGCATCAAAAATAGACGCTGCGCATTTGTATGGGAAATAAAACGTCGATGGTGGCAATACACGAAAATTAAATTCACCTTCTATTTAACGTTTAAATATTGAAGTACGCGAACAATTTACGATTTTCCGAATAGGTTTTCTGCATCGCGCGTGGCGTTTATAAACGAAATAAAAACCGTGACGCACTCATAAATCCTTGACTGGTTTGAATCGTTTTGTACTTTTTCGGGTGTCGCTGGCTAGCGCAATATCTTTGGCTCGTTTCCCCGTTGGTGAAAAGCGGAGTGCACGGGTTCGGTGGCGCAGTTTCGCAGGATTGTCCAATGGCGGGTTTGGCCACCGTTTCGCTTGGTCCTCGTTGCCGCCTTCGGCTGACCGCGAAATTCCGAGCGTGAAATTCCGTAACCGCGACACAAAAGTCACACTCGTCACGGTAGACCGGATTGGCAATCGTCCCGGTAGTTGTTAACGTGACTCCGTCACGTGTGACATTCCTGCCCGGCGTTGCATCGTCCCGTCGGCCTGACACTTTGACTGTTTAGTTTACGTGGTATCAAGTAGAAATGGAACGTATATCGTCAGACACGAGCGTGTAGAAATTAATATCAGTCGAATTTTGCTTCGTATTTCTGATACAGTTTATAATGGTCGAGTCTCACAGAGCGTGCGATGCGATGCGATGCGCTGCGTTTCCGTATTTTTCGAGCCTACGGCCGGGTTTACCAGTGCCGTAGACTGTACCCTACAGCATATACTAAAAGCATGTAAACGTCGGAGACTTTGGATTGCCCCTGTAATAATTAGCCGAGAATCTGTAACTCGAGGACCCAAACTACGGGTCAGACCCCCCGCTGTTCACTTACACATAGACGAAAAGGTCGATTTTATGGCCTCTGCGATGAAATCCTCGGGATTTCTTGGCGAGAACACTTTCGGAAAAATCGCATGCGTTTCTTTTCGTCTATGTGTAAGTGAATCGCATCGACCTTTTCGTCTAAGTCTAAGTGTAAGTGGACAGCGGGTGTGTGACTCCTACTTTTGGTCCTCGAGCTACCGATTCTCGGCTAGCTAACACTGGGGTCCTCCAAAGTCTCCGACTTTTACATGCTTTTAGTATATGCTGTAGGGTATAGCCTACAGCACTGGCAGACCCGGTCGAAAACTCCAAAAATACGGAAACGCAGCGCATCGCATCGCATCGCATCGCACGATCTGTGAGGATCAACCATAAAACAGACAAATCAGTGTGACAATTCCGTTAGCATAGCTGAACTGTGCGATATCAATTTTTACGGTTCAGAGAATGTAAAAAGTTAATTCGGATTCGGAGGCAAGAACGACGCAGCTAGCTACTTTGGCAAAGGCAATAATGCCGGTGATATTATGTCTGCTATTATTAGGTGCGAACTGCTCGTTACACTGTAAACTGCATTCCCCGTTAGCCCGGTACGTGTGCACCGGAGTTACGCGTGGCTGTACGTGTGTCGCACTGCGCCGGTTACTAATGTCATTCAACATAATTAGCGTTACCTATTATGATCAAAACTTGTAACGCGCCGTCTAGGCACTACCTCTGTGCTCCATTATAAACAGAGAGACAGCGTTCGATACGTCAACTCTCGCAGTTTGGTAATTACAAACTGGCTAATTATTGGGAGCGTTCCGACGATAAGAGCCACTCGCGTTTCTCCGCTCCCAATCACCTTTATCGATGAGACCTCTTCCTGGTTTCGTTATTCTCCGACGTGCTTCAAGTACGTTGTAAAAAAACGCGTTTCTCAGAATTAAATAAAATCATTTTACAAACGATGAAACAAAATTAATCGAAGTGATATTCGTAATAATTATTGCTGTTAACACATCTTGTGCGGGCACTTTGCCGCCAAACTCTTACCGTGTAACGGGCGATTTCTTTCGAATCTTTAGCGTATTACAACGTAATCGCGTCAGCAAAACGAATTCATAGGAATTCATTCTTGCAACGCACCTTTTGTATTTCTGCAACTCATATCTATCTGATCTTATTGTAAAAACATCACAAAAACCCATCGATAACAATAATCCATCAATAATCCGTGAAAAACGACTTTAGTTGCTTCCCGCTCAAGATGTGAAATCCGTGCAAAACGACTTTAGTCCCTTCCCGCGCAAGATGTGTTAAAACAGTTTAGTATTTAACATTTTTCCTACCCTTTAATTGGAATTCAGGGTAATCGGAAAGCATTTTCACTGAGGATCGAAGCATCGGTAATTAGAGACCCGCGGATACGAATTTCCGCGTGCATCGAGCGTTTAGATAATTAGGATTGCGACGCGTTTACATGGGCCGATGCATCAAAGATACACGTCGACGTCCCTTCGAACTAATTCGATCGGTGTTTGCTTTGCTGTTTCAGTTGGACAGGTTCAAAGAGCCGCCGGCGTTCGGCCCGATGTGCGATCTACTCTGGTCGGATCCCCTCGAGGACTTCGGCAACGAGAAGAACGCGGAACACTTCTCCCATAACAGCGTCAGGGGTTGTTCGTACTTTTACAGGTGCGTAAGATTTTTTCAATACGGATTACGTCAACGAATGTTTTTATCAAAGTTCTTTTTTTATTGAAACGTTCCGAATATCGAGGGAAAGATGATTCACGGTTTATATCCTGTGTTTAATTACCATCGAGAATTCCCTTTGTTTCATTGTTCAGGGAAATTAATATCGATAGTTACGCTTTTTCTTCGGTGATGGTGAAAAACAGGTAGGATCACGGTTCTATTTGAACGGAGCTCTCGATGGCAGTTTGAAATGTATCACGATTTTCTTTCTGCCGCGAGACAAAGGAATTTTCATACATATTTTTTAGAACCTGTCTCGAACAAAAACGAACGTCCCTTTCGACTGATACCGTTTAAACGTTAACATTTTGATAAACTCGAGTAAAATTGAGGATCGACGATGCTCGACGAGCAGACGATTGTATAAAAGGGCGAGCGCTGATGAAATAAATCGAGATAAATTTAATTCGATTTATTGCAATGTTTTCAATTAAAACGTTCTCGATTTTTATACAAACTTTTATTTTTTATAATAACTGCCAGCGCTCGGTTTGCCAGTCATAACGATGTTGACAAACGCCGCGTGTGTATCTCAAAGGAATCCGACGCTGAAATCTCGATTAATCGAGTTACATTCGATTCCCATTGGACCGACGCTCGTCGCACTGTCTCCTTTCGCATGGAAATCGTATTAATAATTGAAACCACAAAACGCTGATCGTTATAAAAGTTATTAAGCGAAACGCGATGGTCGTTTAAGGACGGATTAAACGAAATGAAACGGCGCGGATTAAACGGGAGCGAATTTCACGTTTCCGAACGTGTCGCCATAAATATGTCGGCGAAATCATTTACCTGGAAGAAGTATTTATCGCCGCCTCGATAATTCAATCTGCGAAAGTAACGTTTATTCGCCTTAAATCTCTCTTTGATCGTCCATCGAAATATCTCATTATTTAGTAATATATTAGGAATAAATCCGTTATGAATCAATTCGGTGCCACTGGCGACGAGTTTCATCAGATTCGATTCAGATCGAAGCGAAATGGAGGCCTAATCGCGAGTTTGCCAGTCGATCACCGTTTCGCTACTGAAAATCCAACCCGGTTACATACCTGCCGACTGATTAGCGTTGTTTGCATACTGCGATTTAATCGGAGCCACCCACAGCCGGTTGACAATTAGCCGTGCTAATGAACGGAGATTGTATTTCGTTTAAATTCGTTCGCCGGCCGGCCGAGTTGCTACGGTCCGGCCGTGCGTCGACCTATACTACTGAGACCCCGCACACTTTTGCGCCGCGAACGTGATTAACCCGAATTTCGAGCGCGTCGACGGCCCGGGAATTAGACGAATTGCCACCGTTTGTTTGAAATCATCAACCAGCCTACGTTCAATAACGTTTGTTAGCGTACCTGGTTATATAGACTAATAGACGTTCCTGCTTTTCCTTTGCTCCACGTGTTATTTAATACACGGGATGAGTCGATAAAAAATATAATACGGTAACTTGTTAGTCTTTTGATTTTATTAATAAATAG